GTGGAATTACGACGCGTGGAACTATGGCGCATGGTATTCCAGTGCGTGGAATTACGACGCGTGAAACTATGGCGCATGGTATTCCAGAACAATCACAAGTACCTTCAGTACTTAACAATTATCTAGGACATTCTGGAAATTCTACGAGAACCCCTACTATTCCCAGACTGCGTCTGCTTACAGAATTTTTCTTTTCACGAAAGAAAATCCCGCCATTCTTCTAATCCCCCAATATTCGCAGATCGCCTCTGCACGGGGTTCGATTGTCCCTGGCTCAAAAGGGTAGAATGGCAGCGGTTTTAACGGGGCTGTTAGGTCCTAGAGAGCGTACGTGTCCCATAGAGTCGTAACGGAGGGGGCCATTAGGGGAACGAGATAGCGTCCAAGATGATCCTGCTCGAACGGTTAGAATGTTCCCTGTAACGACTGGAATATCCTGCGGGATCGTCTGCTTCGTTTTTTTTTTAACGATCGAAAGGCTCCGGGATAAAGATGAGGAAGTATCGCGGGCGTAAAAGGAGATCGTGAAGCCCGGCCAACGAGATAAATTCCCTCTGGTCGAGGACTTCTTTATCGAATCGATTCGGGGGATAAGGCGAGCCTCCCGCAGGACGAGACAAAGACGATTTAAGGGAACGGAAATCGTTTCGATGAAGGGATAACGAGAAAATCGAGAGGCATCGGATGTTCTTGGGCCGTTTTCGAGATGGAACACTGCTGGGCCATGAAATTTTGGATTAGATGAAAAATATGAGGGGGAGTTTAGACATGGGGTTTAATCATGAGCGTAGGACTTTTGAAAGGGGCGCAATTTTATACAGGGTCACTCATAATTGAAGGAAGGCCTGGTACGAGGTGGTAGGGGAGGGGATTATGAACAACTTTTTCCTTTGAAGAAATTGGGTTTGAAGCTTCGTTTTGGAATTATTGATGTAGGCAGGGGTGGACGAGGCACTACTTCTCTGTATAATTGAAGCGGGGGACTAGTGAGCCACTATAGTGGCGCTGTATAGTCTACGACATTCTTGAGAGCAACTATAGTGGCGCTATAATCAAAGAGGACATTTGTAAGAGGCACTATAGTGGCGCTATATAGTCTATGACATTCGTGAGAGCCACAATAGTGGCGCTATATAATGTACGATATTCTTGAGAGCAACTATAGTGGCGCTATAATCAAAGAGGACATTTGTAAGAGGCACTATAGCGGCGCTATATAGTCGATGACATTCTTGAGAGCCACTATAGTGGCGCTATATAGTCTCCGACATTCTTGAGGGCCTCTATAGTGGAACTATATAACCTTCGACATTCTTGAGAGCCACTATAGTGGAACTATATAATCTCTAACATTTTTGAGAACCACTATAGTGGCGCTATATAGTCTCCGACATTCTTGAGAGCCTCTATAGTGGAACTATATAACCTCCGACATTCTTGAGAGCCGCTATAGTAGCGCTCTATAATCTCCGACATTCTTGAGAGCTACTATAGTGGCGATATATAATCTCCGACGTTTTTGAGAGCCACTATAGTGGAACTATATAACCTCCGACATTCTTGAGAGTCACTATAATGTCCCTATGCAATCTCCATTTATAAGAGCCACTATAATGGCCCACCGTACCCATAAACGCCACTATAGCCACAATAACCACTACATCCTCGAATCCCTCACATATCGCATGTTCCGTCAGAAGGTATGAGTTTCGCTGTTTCGTGAAAGCAGGAATTGTGACTCGGCAAGTGAAATGCACGGCCTATAAACATGATTTGTATCGAGAATTGTATCGCACGAAATTACAAGTTGCGCCGTGACACGTTACTCGCCGCTATCTGCGATGTAACTTACAATTACGCGACCTGTATATCACCGAGCCGTCCTAAGATATTCGTATTTAACTCCCTTAGTCGATGAATTATGCTCGGAGGGGAAAGCGTGCAACCCCGTTTTCCAGTGAATTCCCCTGATTTTACGACTGCGAGCGTTCACCCTCATTTTTAAACTGATGCTACAACCAGATATATACTAACCTCTCCCACCAGAGTGACAGGAAGGACACTTCGCTCCAGATGAAAGTCATATTCGGCCATTGTTGAAGTTTTGAGACCATGTTGTTTAGGATGCTCCGGGTGGAGCTGTGGAAGTACTGCTCGAACGTCTTCAGCCAGCCTGGGTCCGTGTGGCTGTGCGGTACTAGGATCACCTGGAACCATGATATTTTTATTATATAGCTTCTCGTTCTGTAGGGATACGTTAGGAAGTTTCTACTAGGTCTCCTGAAGTCTGTATAGTCTTTAGGGACTCTAGGGTCCTTATAGCACTAAGGATATTTAGAGTCCATGTGGTTCTTTAAGGATCCCAGCGCGTGGTATTACAGCGCGTGGTATTACGATGCGTAGTATTCCAGCGCGTGGTATTCCAGCGCGTGGTATTCCAGCGCGTGGTATTCCAGCGCGTGGTATTCCAGCGCGTGGTATTCCAGCGCGTGGTATTACAATGCGTCGTATTCCAGCGCGTGGTATTCCAGCGCGTGGTATTCCAGCGCGTGGTATTCCAGCGCGTGGTATTCCAGCGCGTGGTATTCCAGCGCGTGGTATTCCAGCGCGTGGTATTCCAGCGCGTGGTATTCCAGCGCGTGGTATTCCAGCGCGTGGTATTCCAGCGCGTGGTATTCCAGCGCGTGGTATTCCAGCGCGTGGTATTCCAGCGCGTGGTATTACAATGCGTAGTATTTCAGCACGTGGTATTCCAGCGCGTGGTATTTCAGTGCGTGGTATTCCAGCGCGTGGTATTCCAGCGCGTGGTATTCCAGCGCGTGGTATTCCAGCGCGTGGTATTCCAGCGCGTGGTATTCCAGCGCGTGGTATTCCAGCGCGTGGTATTCCAGCGCGTGGTATTCCAGCGCGTGGTATTCCAGCGCGTGGTATTCCAGCGCGTGGTATTCCAGCGCGTGGTATTCCAGCGCGTGGTATTCCAGCGCGTGGTATTCCAGCGCGTGGTAATCCAGCGCGTGGTAATCCACCGCGTGGTAATCCAGCACGTGGTATTCCAGCGCGTGGTATTCCAGCACGTGGTAATCCAGCGTCTGGTATTCCAGCGCGTGGTACTCCTGCGCGTGGTACTCCTGCGCGTGGAATTACGGTGGTCACAGTGGTCTCTAAACCTCTTAGGCTGCCTAGGCACCTAACTGAACATCTAACTCTAGTCCAACTCTAGTCTCCATGTGCTCCAGATTCCTCAAGGTTCCCATATCCATCAAGAACCATAGGACTCCCAAGGTTACCACAATTCCCAAAGTCCCTAGAGTGAGAACAGTAGAGTCCCCATCCCTCGAGTTCTTAAATTCCCAAAAGTGCCAATACTCCTATAGCTCTAAAGTCTCCAAAACTTCTTAGATCTTCTAAGGTTCCTGACTCCCCTAGGGTTTCTACATCTACTACACCCTGCCAAAAGCTTTTTAGTGCCCCCCCAGATTTCCTAAAAGTTCCCAGATTGCGTCAAGAGTCTAAGGAAGTCCTTAGTTTCCCTAATCACTCGACATAAAAAAGTGAACCTTCAACACAGAAGAAATTTACTACAGAACCCATCAACCAGTCCGCGAATTCACGCCCGTTAGCGCGGATAATCGTGATTTCAGGAAGTAGCCAGGAAAGTTATCGGGAAACTAGTGGCGGAACAGATCATGTTGTTCCCGGGTTGAAACAGGGAAGAGGGCAGTCGAGGATGAAGGACCACGGGCGTGTTAAAGGGGAACTACGATCCTGGCCAGGCTCGTTCCATGCATACGAATAAGCTTCCGCATCTCGAGCGACTGCTTTCGCAAACGTTACTCGTTCCTCTGGTTACCTTATTAAGGGGCGCAAGATGACTGGATCGTAATTAACGCTCGTCTTTGCCAACTATTTGAACAGTTAGCAACAACCGGTGAGTCACGCCGGAGCAACTTAACCCAACCGGGTCAAACTGCGGGTCCCTTGCAAAGTACAGGCTGTTTCATTCACTTTGTAACTTTTTGATAGTGCATTTTTTGGAACATCCTGTATTTCTAACTTTGTTCTTCCCATTGTTTAGTGGGACGGTCGAGGATAGGTTCTTTTTAAAATACAGGGTGTTTCATTTACTCTGTAACTTCATTCTGGTGGTACATTTTCTGAAACAGCCTGTATTTCTAACTTTATCATTTGCTGATCGATGTGTTGAGTTCACGACGAATATATTCATTCAAGACATAACTCAGAACGATCGAGAAAATGTTCTTTTTAAAATACAGGGCGTTTCATTTACTCTGTAACTTCATTCTGGTGGTACATTTTCTGAAACAGCCTGTATTTCTAACTTTATCATTTGCTGATCGATGTGTTGAGTTCATGACGAATATATTCATCAAAGACATAATTCAGAACGATCAAGGAAAAGTCCTTCTTAAAGTACAGGCTGTTTCATTTATTGTGTAACGTTATTGGTAGCACATTTCTTGAACGAGCCTGTATATCCAACTTTCTAGTTTGCTGGTCAATGGAAGAGTTTGTGATTAATTTATATATCAGAGACATCGTATAGTGGACGAATCAAAGAAATGTCCTTCTCAAAGTACAGGCTGTTTCATTTATTGTGTAACGTTATTGGTAGCACATTTCTTGAACGAGCCTCTATTACCAACTTTCTAATTTGCTGATCAATGGAAGAGTTTGTGAGGAATTCATATGAGGAAATGTTCTTCTGAAGATACAGGGTGTTTCATTTATCGTGTAACGTTATTGATAACACATATTTTGAACGAGCCTGTATTACCAACTTTCTAATTTTCTGATCAATGGAAGAGTTTGTGAGGAATTTATATGAGGAAATGTTCTTCTGAACATACAGGGTGTTTCATTTATCGTGTAACATTATAGTAGCACATTTTTTGAACGAGCCTGTATTTCCAACTTTCTAGTTTGTTGGTCAACGGCGAAATCCGTCAAAGACATCGTTCCGAATGATCGAAATAAAATTCCCTAGTGTCTGTGAGGGAATAGCGGGGTTAAATTTCAGAGAAACGTCGTTAAATCATCGATCCAGCGGAAGTTGGACGTTCCCTGGTGGTCGAGTAATAAACGGGGGTGTGCATAAAAGCGGTTCGCGAACTATGCGCAGTTCAGCGAGCCTCCCGACGCTGATTATGAGCGAACGGGTATCGGTTTATCGTAATCCTTTGTCGCGACGGTTCTCAACTCTCTTCTTTTTCTGGTCGCGCTCGAGTCAGCCTGAAAGATCAAACGGGCACCGCGTTAAATATTCATAAAAAGAGAACGTAGGAAAAAAGGCGTCGACGACGGGCGGAGAAAAACCTAGGGAAAAAAATTGGTTCCCGTGACCGGTATGAATTTTCATTCGCCAAACTTCGGGATCGAGTTTGACAAATTTCGAATGCGTCGACCTGGAAATCTGCCGTTAAAAGGGCAAACTGCTGATCGATCGATTCTGGAAAAAAATTCCCTAGATGGCCAGAATTTTTGGCGGGGTTGTCCACGGTGAATAACGATCGCCATTCAACGAACGAACCGAAACGGGTAAATCGTAATGAGCCTCGCAAATTGTTTTACGAGCAATGTTGGCCGGCGTGCGGCTACATTACAGGCTCGAGCCGGCAGTGTGTCAATTACGAAATAACGTCGTTATCGTGGCCAGCTTGGTGTGGCCTAATTAACGGATTTCCTGCCGCTCCACTCTTTCTATCGTTTGCGGCTGAGAACCACTGTACGTTGTAATTTTGCTACGGACTTTACGAACCAATTTAATACTTTACGTGGAGTAATGTGTACGGGCCGAGTATTATAGATTTGTCTAGGAAAAATGGTGGTGCAGGACGCGGTGATGGAGTAGGTGAGTAATTCCAATACATCGTAATTTCATGCTCCGTAATTCCACGCACTGTAATTCCACGCGCCATAATTCCACGCGCTGGAATACCACGCGCTGGAATACCACGCATTGTAATACCACGCGCTGGAATACCACGCGCTGGCATTCCACGCCCCGTAATTCCACGCACCTTATATTTTACCACGCGTTGGAATACCACGCGTTGGAATACCACGCGCTGGATTACCACGCGCTGGAATACCACGCGCTGGAATACCACGCGCTGGAATACCACGCGCTGAATTACCACGCGCTGGAACACCACGCGCTGGAATACCACGCGCTGGAATACCACGCGCTGGAATACCACGCGCTGGAATACCACGCGCTGGAATACCACGCGCTGGAATACCACGCGCTGGAATACCACGCGCTGGAATACCACGCGCTGGAATACCACGCGCTGGAATACCACGCGCTGGAATACCACGCGCTGGAATACCACGCGCTGGAATACCACGCGCTGGAATACCACGCGCTGGAATACCACGCGCTGGAATACCACGCGCTGGAATACCACGCGCTGGTACCACGCGCTGGATTACCACGCGCTGGATTACCACGCGCTGGAGTACCACGCGCTGGAATACCACGCTCTGGAATACCACGCATTGTAACACCACGCGCTGGATTACCACGCGCTGGAATACCACGCGCTGGAATATCACGCGTTGGAATACCACGCGCTGGAGTACCACGCGTTGGAATACCACGCGCTGGAATACCACGCGCTGAATTACCACGCGTTGTAATACCACGCGCTGGATTACCACGCGTTGGAATATCACGCGCTGGAATACCACGCGCTGGAATTCCACGCCCCGTAATTCCACGCACCTTATATTTCATGCGTTGAAATTCCACGTGCCATAATTCCATGCGTTGTACATTCCATACGTCGTAATTCCACACGCTGTAAATTCTACGCGTCGTAATTCCACGCACCTTATATTGCATGCGTTGTAATTCCACGTGCCATAATTCCATTCGTTGCACATTCCATACATCGTAATTCCATACGCTGTAAATTCTACGCGTCGTAATTCCACGCACCGTAATTCCATGTACCGTAATTATGGTTTGCTATAATGGAGGAGCAAGTTTTGCCTAAGGGTGACTATGTGGAATTAGGGTAACTGTATGGAACTCCTATGATACAAGATGTCCGCTGCGAAGATATTAGCAATCTTATACTCCTAGGGATTCCTAGAACCTACAAACCAGAGATCGAAAGAACTTTGGAGGTGAACATTCTCCGGATGCTTGGGATAGTAAAGTAGCAATACAGGACCCTGGTAACCTTAGAGATGTTATCGTGCTATGTACCTAATAACGAGGGAAACAACGATAATAACCGAACAATAAGGACAGGAAGGAAGGAAGGGCAAGATAGGAGGAAGCGGAAGGTGCATTCCATGGCGAAACCATCGAAGATTCCAGTATTGTGGCGCGTGTTTTCGAAAAGGCCACCGCCCACCATTGTGTCTGGCCGACAATGCACCGTGATGAGCCTGTATTGTCGAACTTGTCGAACTCTGCCGCGATCCCAGGCCGAGGGGAAGTCTCACGTCCGGCTCTGGGTTTGTCCTTGCCGTCGAAGTACCCGTGGTGTTGTCGCTTCACAGTCTCCTGGGTATTCGATCAAATCGCTTTCGTCCGGCAAAACATTCGCACAGATATATTCCTTCTGTTTCCTGTTAATTGTCACTTTACTGTTGCGATTTTTCGGTGGGCATTCAATTTGGGTCGATTGTAGTTCAATGCGCTGGAGTGCCAGGCGCTGTATTGCCATAAGTGGTAATTCCATGCATTGTAATTCCACGCGCCGTAATTCCACGCGTTGCAATTCCATGCTCTGTAATTCCACGTGCTGCAATTCCATGCGCCGTAATTCCACGCGTTATAATTCCACGTGCTGCAATTCCACGCGCCGTAGATTCAATGCGCCGTAATTCCACGCATCGTAGTTCCACGCTCCGTAATTCCACGTGCTGCAATTCCATGCGCCGTAATTCCACGCATCGTATATTCAACGCGTCGTAATTCCACGCGTTATAATTCCACGTGCTGCAATTCTACGCGCCGTAGATTCAATGCGCCGTAATTCCCCGCATCGTAATTCCACGCCCCGTAATTCCACGCATCACATGCATTGTAATTCCACGCGCCGTAATTCCACGCGTTGCAATTCCATGCTCTGTAATTCCACGTGCTGCAATTCCACGCGCCGTAGATTCAATGCGCCGTAATTCCACGCATCGTATATTCAACGCGTCGTAATTCCACGCGCTATAATTCCATGTGCTGCAATTTCACGCGCCGTAGATTCAATGCGCCGTAATTCCACGCATCGTAATTCCACGCCCCGTAATTCCACGTGTTACAATTCCATGCGCCGTAGATTCAATGCGCCGTAATTCCACGCATCGTATATTCAACGCACCGTAATTTCACGCGCTATAATTCCACGTGCTGCAATTCTACGCGCCGAAGATTCAATGCGCCGTAATTCCACGCATCGTAGTTCCACGCCCCGTAATTCCACGGGTTACAATTCCATGCGCCGTAGATTCAATGCGCCGTAATTCCACGCATCGTAATTCCACGCCCCGTAATTCCACGTGTTACAATTCCATGCGCCGTAGATTCAATGCGCCGTAATTCCACGCATCGTATATTCAACGCGCCGTAATTCCACGCGTCGTATATTCAATATGCTGTAACTCCACGCGCTGTAATTCCCTGGGCTATAAATTCCATGCATGGTAATTACATGCGCTATACCTCCACAAGTTATAATTCCACGCGCCATAATTCCACCCCATATAATTTTCCACGATGTAATCGTGCGTATGGAAGTTTTACGCGTCGCACACCCCCGCGTTATATCGCCACGCATCGTCATACGCTCATAACCGAAGTAATCTACTATGTCAGCATAAAAGCTGGCAATGTTGAGGGTAAAAATCCAGTGCTAACGGGGAGAAACGTCTCCATGGAACGTGATAATCGAACAGGTTCAAGAATATGTGCGCGGGTCTCGCCTACTTAGCTTTTCCGCACGACCTCCTCGTACCGGGCCGCCATAAACACGCCAATATTATCCAATCTCCTCTAACAAGGTGATACTGCTCTTCCCTTGGATCCACGGGAAAGTTGGTCCGCATAAACGAGAACTTATATCGAACGGCGGCAGGAAATTTCGAGAAAATCTTGGATCGTCCAAGAGCCTCCTACAGGGTGACTCAAAATAAACGTCCGTCATAAATGATTTCGATTAATTTTAGCCGATTGTTTTCGGTTAAAAGGCTCTGCATCTGAGAGTTATCCTTAATTAGAGGAAGATAAGAGAAACACGTCTGTACACGTGACCCAGACGACTTTATCTCGAGGCTTTTACGTCACTCTGGAAGTAGAAGTCGCCGCCAAAAGTACATCACGAACGCCCCAGGTTAATTTCCGGCCTGGCAACTTGCAAACTTAGCGCAACTTCTCGTTCCAAGGCACGCTTTCCCCGCTGAAAACTAAAAGCTGGGTCTTTTTGAGACGATCAGAGGCAGACTTCTTTCTCGTTCGCCGTCTGAGCCTCGCAACGATGTATCTTGTCCGATCGATAAGGGGATGCCGGGACACGATTGTTCCGGGAAACTGGAGACGGTTATTAGGATAAGCGAATCGTTCTCGGATTTCTCTGGCAATTAAACGAACCTGAGTAAGGAGATCCAATCCTGAATAAACGTCCCTTACTCCTTTTTTTGCTCGGAGGGACGGCCAGACGTTTATATCTTTCAGAGAAAATTCGAGAATCCGTGTCCTCTCGAATAAATCGGTTATATTTATCTTGCTCCATGGTTTGCTGCTACGCATATTTATATAACCCTAGTCACGTAGCAGCTCGAGATTACGTCATTCGTTGGCGGCAAATTTAAACTGTCTTATTAATTTGTTCGGTGAACTATAAAATATGTGTATTGTGTTGTGAAAGAATAAGTTTATAGCATTTTAGTAAATTGTTAAATATGTTAACATTTTTATTTTATAACAAAGCGAAATAATTGCGGAAAAATGACAATATTGAAGAACTGATATTAAATTCCAGTCAGCCATGTTAGAAGTCGGCCATATTAAACTTTGTGATGTCATCGCGTTAATGGACGTTCCTTCGACTATGTTCATAATGTAAAACGCTTCGTGTCGAAAATTGCACGCACTGTAATTCTATGCGTTGTACTTTCACGCTCTGTAATTCCACGCGCTGTACTTTCACGCGCTGTAAATTCAACGCATCGTAATTCCACGCGCTGTAAAATCTACGCGTCGTAATTCCACGCACTGTACATTTCACGCGTTGTAATTCCATGCTTCGTAATTGCACACATTGTAATTCTATGCGTTGTACTTTCACGCTCTGTAATTCCACGCGCTGTAAATTCCACGCATCGTAATTCCACGCGTCGTAATTCCCACGCGCTGTACATTCCATGCGTTGTAATTCCACGCGTCATAATTCCACGCGCTGTGAATTCCACGCTTCGTAATTGCACACACCGTAATTCTATGCGTTGTACTTTCACGCTCTGTAATTTCACGCGCTGTAAATTCCACGCATCGTAATTCCACGCGTCGTAATTCCCACGCGCTGTACATTCTACGCGCTGTGAATTCCACGTGTCGTAATTGCACGCACCGTAATTCTATGCGTTGTACTTTCACGCTCTCTAGTTCCACTCGTCATAATTCCACCCGTTATAATCCCACGCGCCGCAATTCCATGCGCTATACTTCCCCAAGTTATAATTCCACGCCATATAATTTTCCACGATGTAATCGTGCGTATGGAAGTTTAAAAAATGAAATAATTGGAGAAAAATGTCAATATTGAAGAACTGATATTAAATTCCAGTCCGCCATGTTAAAAGTCGGCCATATTAAACTTCGTGACGTCATCGCGATAATGGACGTTCCTTCGACTATGTCCATAATCTAAAACGCTTCGTGTCCAAAATTAATGACACGTGATAAATTTTCGAGGTCTGAGAATATACACGTTATTCCTGGAAAATCTGATCAGCCTAATGAAGCAGCAACAAAATGGTGGATGTAAGGGCGCGTTTACAACGAGAGTACACAACCAGCTTAGAAAGGATCCGAGCAACGTTCATACGTGTTTCCTGAGGCCTCAAGGCGGATCCACGTCAACGAACGGCGAACGAAACTTCGTTAACGAATCTACGAAATGCCTCGTACACGGTGGCTTAATTAGCTCGCGAACCTGAATACCCGTTCGTTGCAATTAACAACTGAAGCCGGAAGGGAGCAGGGAGTACCTGCCGCGTTTGCTGTTCGATAAGATCGATGCTGAATCGATATCTTGGGTCAATGACTTTTCTCGATATTCCTCGTGAAACATGGACGTGTAATTGGTTAGCAATTTTGAAATGGTGAGATGGAGTTTTAGGTTATGTTTGTAATTAGAGGCTAGTTTGAGTTAGTTTTAGGTTAGGTTTGTGTTAGAATCAGGTTAGGTTCAAACGAGGTTTAGGCTGGGTTTAAGTAACGCTTAGGTTAGGTTCTAATAGGGTTTAGGTCAGGTTAAGTTAGTTACAAGTAAGGTTTATGAAGTTAGGTTAGGTTTAAGTAATGTTTAGGTTAAATTCAAGTAAGGTTTGTGAAGTTAGGTTAGGTTCAAGTAACGTTTAGGTTAGATTTAAGTAAGGTTTATGAAGTTAGGTTAGATTCAAGTAAGGCTTATAAAGTTAGGTTAGATTCAAGTAAGGCTTATGAAGTTGGGTTAGATTCAAGTAAGACTTATGAAGTTAGGTTAGATTCAAGTAAGGTTTATGAAGTTAGGTTAGATTAAAGTAATGTTTGAGTTATGTTCAAGTAAGGTTCAGGAATTTAGTCAGATTATATTTGACGATTATAAGTTATGTTACCTTAAGCGATGGTCTGGTAGGATCCTTCCTGAGCTCCGCATACCTGGCCTCGAAGCTGTCGTCCCAATATTCTCTGCTCCTCATCCACGACGGCTGTAACAAACCAAAACGATAAATTAGAAACAGATGAACAGAAAGAGTAAACTTCAGTACCTACAATATCTGTCCCTATTTTCACCCCCGGTTTATTAAATACCCTAGGAAAATCTTAAGCAAACCAGATCCGTAGAGATGTTTCACGGATCAAGCAGATCCCGGCCAGACAGATAAATGGAAAGATAGATAGCCGTGGAAAATAAGAGGGGATACACCGTGCCGAGAAAAACAGAAGGAGAACCAGCCACCCCCCGGTTCTCGGGGTCTAATTTCGTTAAAGGCGTGTGAAGGCGAACCGTAAGATCGATCGAGTCGAAAGAAAGTGCCTCTTGGCAAATAATCCACCGCTGAAAGACGGTCTCGATGGATTACGGGTCTGTCGATGCTTCTCGCTGTTTAATTAACGTCCATGGGATTAACTCTGTTACCGGGGAATACTCGACTGGTACCCTGTCTATCGATCGGTCGCTTTAAATTGAAAATATAGGATCAAAGTTCAACGTTTACATTCTAAATGGTTTATTACTATTCAGACTCTCGAAATTGGTTATTTGACATGCGATATTGCTTGTACGGCTCGGAGATTAGGTTGTATGATTACACTGTGACTGTTTCGTCTATTTGGATGATATTCAGTGTTACAACCTGTACGTGGGACAGGTAATGGAAGAGGTATATTTTCATAAAGAAGGTCCACGATACTTCATTCCCAGTTAAAAATATAGTAAAACGTTGCGACTAGAGCACACCTTACTAAGAAACTAATGAATCAAAGAGGTGTACCGTTAAGAAGAGCGTAAAGTCTCGAATTTATGCGGCAGATGAAATATCAAGGACAATGGTCGGGCATCGGGTTGGTTTTCTTTTAATTAAAAGCGAGCTTACTCGCTGATACATCGAAACAGCCTCGCGGCTGCTTTTAATTAAAGGATCGCAGCTGCATTTTTTAAATTGTCGCGCGGCAACCAATGGACAAATATTTCCCGCGGGTCGTTTGGCACGTAGCCCGTTATACAAAGAAAAAGAAAAATGGCGAAAAACAAAAAGGAAGAATAAATAAAGGAAAAATTCAATTCTGCAGCAATGCGCCAGGTATACGCGATAATTATTTGCACATGCCCCTGAAAATATTAATTTTCAAGAAACCTTCCTCTCGCGGACGAGCGAGAGGAATTTTTGCCGGGCTAACAAAGAAAAAAAAGAAGGAGAGAATGATATTCACGCGATATTCTCCCTCCCTCGACATCGTTGCATTAAATTTCTCGTTTCGCTGAAAATTACGCTTGTATTCCATTTTCAGGCAGGTTTTTAAACCGTGCTCGAGCCCAGTTTCAATTTTTTTTTTTTTATCTGCCCATTCGCCCGTCCGGATGATTCCAAATATCCTCATTCTCTTTTTGCGAATATAACGAGCAAAATTTCAAAGTACCGAAGAGATTAAAAATATTATTACGCTGATATTCAACTGTACGTTTTTGTTTGTACGGCTCGGCTTGATATCGGAACGGGATTTTATTATTTTGCGCGATAACTCGTCCGTCGAACATGTTATGGCGAAGTTATTAATTAAAAACGGGTGCCTACATGTGAATTGCGCAGTCCAGGCTGCTGAGGCGCATGCGCGGAACTGTGGAGGATGCTGGGAAGGTTCGTATCTTAGGACGTTACAGTTTTACGTTCTATATCTTACATTTTTGGGACTTTGGCGTTTTGGGCAATTTAATTTAAGTTTTTTGGGGTTCTAAGGTTAAGTTAGTTAGGTCTTCGAAACTTAGCAGTGTATGCTTTTGGCAATTTAGGACTTAGGTACTATGATGATATAGGGCTTAGGTCTCGTGTTATCTTAGGACTTAGGTGCTGTTCTTTAGATTGTTGGAATAGTGGGATCCTAGGTGGTATGACTTAGAGAGTCATGGTGTCCTAGGACTATATTCACATCTGATGGATCATGCAAGTCATAGGATCCTAGGTCTTGTAGTCAACTCTGATGCATCATAGAAGTCATGGAGTCCTAGGACTATATACACATCTGATGAATCATGGAAGTCATAGGATCCTAGGTCTTGTCAACTCTGATGCATCATAGAAGTCATGGAGTCCTAGGTCCTATATTCACATCTGACTAATCATGGAAGTCATAGGATCCTAGGTCCTATAGCCATCTCTGATGCATCATAGAAGTCATGGAGTCCTAAGTCCTATATACACATCTGACAAATCATGGAAGTCATAGGATCCTAGGATCTATACCCATCTCTGATGCATCACAGAAGTCATGGAGTCCTAAGTCTTACATTCACATCTGACAAATCATGAAATTCACAGGCTCTTAGGTTCTATATTCACATCTGATGGAAGAGTCACACTGTCCTAGGCCCTAAGTCCAGATCCTCGAGGTCCTATGATCCTAGGCACTGTACTTTAGGCTTGCTGTATTCCTAGGATCATAGGTATTATGCTTTAGAATGTTGGAATCCTTGAGATCACTCAGTTAGGTCCTACACCTTAGGACCAAAAGACCTAATGGTTTTTGTGCCAAGATCATGTGCTTTGAACTTTCAGGAGTCGTAGCATGCCACCTCCTATACAGACACTTGAATCTACTCTAAGTTCTAGGTTCATAGAACGTCCCAGACATAGTCCCTCATATTCAGTCCCACTATATGATCCTCTCCGATGCTATTATACTTCAGTCACACTTTCTGGTCCCAAGATCATGTGCTTTGAACTTTCAGGAGTCGTAGTACGTCACCTTCTATGCAGACACTTGAATCTACTCTAAGTTCTGGGTCCATAGAACGTCCCAGACATAGTCCCTCATATTCAGTCCCACTATATGATCCTCTCCGATGCTATTACACTTCAGTCACACTCTCTGGTCCCAAGATCATGTGCTTTGAACTTTCAGGAGTCGTAGTACCCACTATATGATCCTCTCTGACCCTATTATACTTCAGTCACACTTTCTGGTCCCAAGTATCATCTAAGTTCATCTTCTGAGTCCCACGTTTGAAGGTGACCTTCACCCACGTGCAAGATCTGTATATCCCTGGAAGCTTCTGTCAACGTCTGTTGCGTATACAGTAGTGACCAAGGTATCTACGAACGTAAATAACCGAACGACACCGTGACAAATGATAAGCGTGAGAAAAAAGTAAGGAGCAACGTCCTCTAAGTGGATCGTGCTCATCTGTTCCAAGCAGGTGGTCTCGATCACGTCGGATCACCCTCGGTTCGAGGGTAATCTTGCTGCTGGGAAGCATGAAGCATTCTGCGTCAATCACGCGTCAGGAACAAAGGAATGCTTAGCGCACTGGATGCACCCATTTGCCTCCATGTCGTAGACGCTTCCCGTCGCTTCTGCGTCTCCTTTGACACGCCATCGGACCACGCACAGATCCACCCGAACGGGGGAAAATAAACCATCTAGGCCATGTCGTATCAATCAACGCCCGGGAATCCTGATAAATCGAGCTCGTCTTACGGGATGCGATATCTCATCGTTGTCGCGGGAGAACCTTGGATCTTCAAGATAAATAATAGAATTTCTTGTTTATCACGTTTATTTTTTTTTTGTGTTGTTCTTTGGGAATTAATAGGTAAATTAATTGTTCATTGGGGATTAATAGGTAAAGGGTGTTTGATGAGGGGGGACTGTTAAGTTCTTCAAGTGGGATGATGGAAGTAGGGCTGATACCATTTTTACAAAGTGGGACAGTGGACTTAGGGGTGCTATGATATTTGCATTTCTCAAATTGGAGCATTTGAGTCAGGGTTGCTACCATGTTTGCAAAGTGGGACACTGGACTTATCATTTTGTAATTTTTTGAAGGGGAGTGCTGGACTTAGGGGTGCTGCCATGTTCCTATTTTTCGTATCAGAGCATTTGACTCAGGGTTGCTACCATGTTTGCAAAGTGGCACACTGGATTTATCATTTTTTAATTTTTTGAAGAGGAGTGCTGGACTTAGGGATGCTACCACATTCCTATTTTTCATACGAGCATTTGACTCAGGGTTGCTACCATTTTTGCAAAGTGGCACACTGTACTTATCATTTTGTAATTTTTTGAAGAGGAGTGCTGGACTTAGGGGTGCTGCCATGTTCCTATTTTTTAACCGACTTCGAAAAAGGAGGAGGTTACTCGATTCGATCAGTATATTTTTTCATATCAGAGCATTTGACTCAAGGTTGCTACCATGTCTGCAAAGTGGGACACTGAACTTATCATTTTGTAATTTTTTGAAGAGTGCTGGACTTAGGGGTGCTACCATGTTCCTATTTTTCATATTAGAGCATTTGAGTCAGGGTTGCTACCATGTTTGCAAAGTGGCACACTGTACTTATCATTTTGTAATTTTTTGAAGAGGAGTGCTGGACTTAGGGGTGCTGCCATGTTCCTATTTTTTAACCGACTTCGAAAAAGGAGGAGGTTACTCGATTCGATCAGTATATTTTTTCATATCAGAGCATTTGACTCAAGGTTGCTACCATGTCTGCAAAGTGGGACACTGGACTCATCATTTTTTAATTTTTTGAAGAGTGCTGGACTTAGGGGTGCTACCACATTCCTATTTTTCATATTAGAACATTTGACTCAGTTGCTACTATCTCTCCACTTTTCATAGAGTACTAACATGCTATCATCTCTCCACTTTTCAAAATAGTGGCACGACTGGTCACTTACTTTCCTGAGCCATTCTCAAATAACTCAAAGGCTGGTGCCTTAACGCAATCTTCGAATTTTCCCCATTCTACAAGATGCTTCATCAAATATCTCAAAGCCTACCCCAAACTTAAAAGACTATTCCAGATTTCTTGACGGGTTGGTACCCAATTTCACAAAGAACTTTTACAACCTCCCTAAGCTAAGAATCCCATCAGATCCCCTAACAAAATAAACCCCTTACTTCCAGAGCTTAAAGATGATCGTGTATGTATGAAAATCCATGGGACGATACCGTAAAAGATATCTAGCAAAGGACCTCGGTATTGGG